CGCAAAAAGGAACAAGAAAAAGGCCCATGTTTGTCACAACTGGAACAGTTTGAGTGAATCAACAGGAATTTGGTATGCCGATAATTATGTAAATTCAATTGATTTAATGAGTCTGTTCCCATTGGGGCTAGGAACTACTTGGGACTAGACTTCAGTTCTATAGTCAGTTATCTTCTCACGTGGTGCAGACAAACTGTACTTCCCTTCCTACATCTTATTTATGGCACAAATGGCCATTTAGGACCAAGCCACTCCCAAATTATTTTAATCAAAACAGAGATAGCTTGAAATACTGTGCTGTTGCTGAGGAAACTCCCTTTCCCCAACTATTATGATGGACATTGTTCAGAGACAATGGAAAAGATGGAAAGGGGTGCACTAGTAAATGACATAATTGTCTCTGGTAATCAAAAACTCCAGGCACTTCAACCCTACCTACAGGTTTCTGCTACACACTGTATGAACCCTGTAGATGCAATAATATTCCTTCAAGAACTGGCTATATACTGCATGTTGAATGCTTGCATCTCTAACTGCTGTGACACTGTTACCACTCTGCAAAGTCCTATTACAGTAACAAAGTGTCATCAAGTAAATTCTGACATATGGAGATTTTTTTCCCCCAAGGTTTTTTAGGTATATAATAGGGGTGGTTTATCATTTCCTTATTTTCGAGGATACCCCCAGGATTGTGCAGCTTGCCCATGGATATACAGGCTGACTGTTCTCCTACAAGGTACAGAGAAGAATCAAAACCTTGACCTCTGACTCTGCAGCCAGGTACCGAACTCACTGAGCTTTCCAGCCAGCCTCCCATCAACACAGATGGCAGTATGTACAAAGCAACAAGATGGACAGAGGAGCTGAAATCATCTACTGACAGGTTTGCAAGATGAAATCCAAGGATCTCTCTGTTCTATAAGGACAAATATAGTAAAAATCTCTCTTGAAAGCACCAAGCCAAAGAAGCAGCCCTTTCATTTGAAAGAAGAGGCAGTGCTGCACTTCCTTCCGTAGGCCCCAGGCAGGCTCTTTGAAATTACTTTTGTTTCTCTATAAAACAAATTATCAGGAAGTGGCCGACCCCCTCTCTTTCCTCCCGCTGAACATCATCTCTTAAGTATAAACAGTGAGGGCTAGAAGAAAAACATTGTTCCTCTCCACATCATCTTGTGAAGTTTCTGCAGCTCCTCTTCAGATGGAGAAGAGCCAGAGGAAGGGCAGGAGCAGAGATTATAACACAGATCTCCATGGTCTGTGTTGACCATTAAACAAATGTACTGCTAGCAAACTTGGCTTTCTAACATAGGTGCTTGCTCTTTGTAAACAGCACATCAAAGCCATCACCAAGCTAAATATCTCTGCATAACTATTCAGGGGAGATTCCGCTGATATCATGCAAGTCTTGAACAACCACCTTGCTGTTGAGTTTGGACACCGTTTTCAATACTTACAAATTCTGCGAGGGTGAATCTGCAGCAGGGATGCACAGATATTTGAATCCCTATGTTAAAAAAACAGAAAAGAAAAAGAAATGAAAGGCAGAGCGAGTAGGAAATTAGGAAGAAAACGGTTAGAAAATGAAGTGAAAACTAAGTTTAAATACACCTTTTGAGTATCACTGCTGCATCAAAGCCAACAGCAATACAGTATTTTGAGATTCAATTCTGACAGCCATATTTTTCAGTTATGACTAAGAGACATAAACAAGTCCAAACAAATCTGTACTGGAAATATTGTATTCAGGTCCAGAATTACATATGCCATTTAAAACAGCTTTCTTGCTTGGGTACTATAAATTGCTAACATACAACTTCACAAGTCTGTCTTGCTTTCTGAAAATGAGTGTAGAAAATTAGAGGTGTCTGCTCGTGGGGGAGGGTAGATATTACTTTCAGTGCTATATTTAATTGGTTTTCATTACTTACTTAACCAAACAAAATGTACTTATTTAACAAAGATAATACTTTATTAAAGAAACTGATTCATTCTGAATATAATTTTATTACCATACCATGTGGAACTCTTACCATCTTCAAATAAGATAAATTCATTGTCTTAGTCAGCCTTTACTAAAATATTTTCAGCACATAAAAGGCTGGGTGGGATTGGAGAGAGATAAAGAGAGAACAAATACAGCCCCTGAGTTGCCTGAATGAATTACAGTGGGGTCTTGACTTAAGAACGGCTTGAGTTAAGAACATTTTGACTTAAGAACCACTCTCATAAGAAAATATTGACTTGACTTACATACTTAGATTTGAGTTAAGAACCATACCATGTGGAACTCTTACCATCTTCAAATAAGATAAATTCATTGTCTTAGTCAGCCTTTACTAAAATATTTTCAGCACATAAAAGGCTGGGTGGGATTGGAAAGAGATAAAGAGAGAACAAATACAGCCCGAGTTGCCTGAATGAATTAAAACACATTTTGTAGCCACTTCTATTTGTTACCTAGGTTTAGGCTTGTTAGTCCAACCTCATCATGTGTCCACTGAACTCAAATACCTGCAAAGGAAGGCTACACCTCTATGAACACAGACTTCTATACAGCCACAAATATAAATTGAATAAGCTTCTAGCTCCCACAGAGACCCTCTCCTGCTGACATGTTCATTCTCAATATGCAAGGCCAAGAAAGCTATAGGACCTGGTGGTAAGAGACCTATGGCCCTGCCCTGCTGCCCCTTCCAACAGCACATGGACTTGCTTCTGGCACAGAATGCATGGAAGGGATTCATCCAGCGCAAAATTCTCATAGCACCAGACAAGATGCCTCTGAAGGCACAATAGCTGGCCACCAAAGTGATACTCTTGTCATGAAAATGTTAAGAAGCTGACTTATAAAACCGACTGTTGGCTTACATTGTCTGCAGTGATAAACGGCAATGGTCCCTGTGTTTCAGACAGGCATCCTTCCCATTTGTAACTGGAAACACAGGGAATGAACCCAGTTTCTCCTCCATGCAAAACCAGCTGCTCTGCTCTTCCCCTACATGAGAATTAATGTCAAATGATGTCCCGTGGGGCCTAGAAATTTTCCCCACTTTTATTCCCCATCATTGACCAGAGATGACCAATAAGAATTTATGCAAAGCCAACAAAGCTACATGAGAATCAAGATCTGGTTTGCACCCTGGGAAAGTGCTGCCCTAAGGCCTTCTTTTGAATACATACACTGAATACAAATGAGCATGCAAGAATTCTCCTGCTCATACTTGATGGGAAAATGTCCAGATTGGTCAGAACAACATCTACCATTGCCTACTTTGGGTTGACTCCACCCTAGTCCACATCCCTGTGGGATGCAGTCTTTGAAACACTCCCCAAACTGGAATTCAGCTGCTGAGCTAAATGAAGGCTTCCTACCCTTGTCATACAGTTTCTGCTGTGCATATTTCTCCAGGATGTAATCAACAGCAGCTTTCAAAAATTTCAGCATCATGCCTCCCCTTCAGTATTTGAGACCATGGCACTTCCATGATTCCCCTTTCTCACCATCCAACTCTCTTAAGCACTGCTTAGTTAAATACTTAAAACTACATCTGTTTGATTTATATATTCTAACTGTAGCTTACTGAATTTAGCATCTGTCTAAATGCTACTACTTAAAAACAGGAATAGCAGCAACAGAAAACAGCACTACTGCAGGACTCAATAAAAAGAATACATAAAGAAATAAGCAGTAAACTCAATAATGTAGTGCTCCTTCTGCAGTCACACCCTAAGCAAACCCAGCATCCTTCCTGTGCACACCCTCAGGAAAACATCTAAGAACTGCCCCGTCGGGCTAACCAAACAATAGCAACAAGCCGTGATTTTAGCTGCTGTTGCTTCCTTTTTCTTTAAAGTTCAAGATCCTTTTTTTAAACAATTGATGCTCCAGTCAATGTACAGGACAACGTTTATCAGGATATTTAGCTCGATAACTATGAGACCTAAGGAAATAAAATTAGATTATGTAAACCAAGAAAACAACAAAAAGGGGCCACGAGATGGTTTGTTTCCCCCAGTGACTGGTATTCAGAGGTTATGATGCGAAAAACAATTTGTTGAATGTCTTTGAATCCTTACATTCCTGTCCCTGCTTTTTTTCATATCAGACTACGAAACTCTGGTTTTTCCCTTCCTACATGAAAACCTGCATGTACTTCCTGTAGTGGATGAGTTGATTTTATGCACTTGAGATGCACACATTTTTACGCACATCTTTCTTGTTGACTGAAGCATATTTGAGCATATTTGTCAATTACACACATTTTTAAAAATTCATGGATTAATTCATGTGTCCTATCTCTCTGCAACAAACCATAAAACTTGCAAATGTGCAAATTCCTGAGGCAAGGTGTGAGTCTCAGGATGGACAAAATGAGACTCAAAAAGGCTTTAAAAACCACTGGAGTTTTGCCTCTGCATGCTATCTTGGTTCCTGAATGCAGCATATAGTCATCATGACAGCCTTCTTTTTCATTAATCTGCCCAGTTTCAAACCTATGCTATTTTCCTCTCAGCTGTTATGTGTCTTTTCTTACATTTAAGTAATCAATATATTTTTTAAAAATTGCCCAATTCACCATTAAAGCCTTTTAGGTTGGCGGCCACTGGCCATTGCAACACCTTGTGGAACTGAATACCATAATTTAGCTATGCATCTGTATAAAACAGCTTCCTTTTATCTGTACTCAATATCCCACCCTTCAGATTCATGAGATGAGTCCATGTGCTAGCCTTCTGGAGAGAGAGGAAAAATGTGCTAGCCATTTTTCATATGCCTTTTTTGATCTCATAATATCTGACGTAACTCCTTTTGCCTCCATACACCACAAACTAAACATCCTAAATGTTGAAATCTGAACTCACACAAGAGTTGCTCCAGCTGCCAGTTGTTTCACACACACACACACACACACCTTTTCTAGCTCTGGAATATCTCTGAGCCAATAGCAGTCTTTAGTATTCAATACCAATAGAACTAGTAATTTTGCCTCACACATACACACTAGAGTAGATCCATTACATTAACAGGGGTTCCATAAGTGCTGACTTCCCATTCAGCAGTTGACTGAATGGTTCTACTCTAGCTGGGACTGCCAGTGAGGTTCAGGCCCAGGAAAATAGTTTCATTTGCCGTAATTTATTTTTGCCCATTAGTGTCCATTTGTATTGCTGCTCCAATTTTGGGGACATGACTTGGTCACATTGGCCAGTGTGGCCTACTGTAAGATGGATCTGCTAGTTTGTCATTTTACAAGTGAGAAAATTCCTACACATTCCTTTTTTTCTGAAATTATCATGCCAGTTTCACATTAATTTCAAAAGGAAGAAATGTCCATGTAAAGATTTTTCTCACCTGTAAAATAGCAAAGCAGCAAATCCATTTTACAGTAGGCCACACTGGCAACTGTGATCAAGCCACAGCCCCTACCAGATTATCCCAAAATCTTGGGAGCAGGAAAAGACACCAGACATGAATGGTTAGAAATCAATTATCAGTCAAAAAAGAGAGTCTGTTCTCCTAAATTCCAATGACTCTGAAGACGTCAGCCAGAACAGCGAACCAATAAGTTCATTTTCCTCTCAGTTTTCTATTTCATCAGACAAGAGTAACCACAAAGGCAAGCCTTTTATTTCTCTTAGGCCCTGAAAGTCAAGAAAACAGTTAAACCGATACAAAGGGAGAGTTAACAAAACTATCGCAAGTATTCTGATTTCAAGATTGTCAAAGCTGAAAGAAGCAAGAGTTGGTTGAGCAGAATTTCTGCTATTCTGGCCCTTGCTTCGCAAATCACATCACACATTGGTACCATGTTAATATGCCCGATAATCTAGGTAAACCCTCCCACAAGGGTTTTGCCACAATGACGTCCCCTCTCCCTTAATTATGTAATTATCATTTTAAATACATATATACGTTCCAGGTTTTCAGGAAACAATTTATTTGCTTTTGCTTCAAAGTCCAATTTTGACAGCAAAATCTTTAGAGTGAGTTAATACAATGTTATCATAGGTCACAAGGAATAGATATAACAGTTGTGATTGTGGATTAAAATTACCCTCTAAATAAAAAGAGCTAAATGCCTTTTTACAAGGTATTTTTTAAGCTTTGAAAATTAAAAATATCAAGACAACAGATAAGAGTTTTAAATTTTAATTCACAGTTCTGTTAACCTTACAATAACCTTTCTCTTTACAAAAGGGCTCTCTTTTTTTAGTTACTGTATTTGGTTCCATTATTTTAATTGTTCTCTTAGAGAAGGAAAAGAGAGGAGAGAGAAAACCAAATGTCAAAGGCATGTACTGTACTAAAGATTTGATACACTTGTATTCCGGACAGTTCAAAGAACAGAGACAACAAGCACTGTGGTTAATCTAAACAGTAGTTCTTAAAACACAAAGAGCTTTCTTTATTTTCTGATGAACATAGTTAATATAAATGTATCATGGTAAAAATACTGAATAAGTTGTTCAAAATTTCATGAAATTGGTAATTTATATCCACAA